CCCCTCGCACTGGGCCTGGCTCCGTGAGCGCCCTGCGCAGCACAGCGGTGCCACACGCTCCTATGGAAGAGACCCCCGGGACCCCCAGCCCTCTGGCTGCCCCCGCTGCTGCCCACCCCCCCCCACCGCCCCCCGGGAGGAAGAAGAGGAGGAGGAGGAAGAGCACAGCACTCCATGGCCGCCCTCTGTGGTCATCCTCCCGCTGCAGAGTACGTCCCCGCTTTCCAACGGTGCTGAAACGCGTTGATTTCACCCTAAAAATCAGCCGGGGGGGGTGGGGAGGGGGGCTGAGATTGGGGTCTGCGTTCCCAACGCTTTCCTGGCAGCTCACGGTGCTGATTTCTGCAGTTTTTAACCCAAAATCTCTTTGTTTGGTGTCACACTGAGCTACTTCTCGATATTGATGTTTTTGGGGGTGGTTTTCTCTATTTTTATGATTCACGAGGAGGAAAAAAAAAAACCAAAACGTTCCAGACCCAAAATCTTTTGGATTTCTGCTCAGTGTCACCGATCTGATGCTGTCTTCAATCAATTTTGCCCTTTTTCCCCATTTTCAGCCCCAAAAGTCGCCCATCTCTCTGTGTGTCACACAGGGGGGTCTGCGTCTGAGATTATGCGTAAAAAGAAGGAAAAAAAACAAAAAGAAAAAAGAAAAAGAACCATTATGAAGTATTAAAAACAGTTCTTTTTGCACTTTGGGTGTCGGGTTGGAGAAACAGAGCAAAATTTGGGGGAAAGAGTGGAAAAGAAAAGGGAAACTTGGGTGGAAAAAGGGGGATTGGAGGGGAAATAGAAGTGCTGTTTTTTGTTGGTGCAGTGGCTGAATGCGTGACCCCGACTGTCACACTTGTGTCACATCCGTGTTCTGGCCTTGCACACATGTCCCAGACTGTCCCATGCATATCTTGCCCTTACACACGTCCCAGCCCTACACAAATCTCATAGTGGCACACGCATGTGCCACGTGTGTCCTGGTCTGATACGTGTCCAGATTGCCACACGTGTCCCAGACTGTCACACGTGTGTCACACGCATGTCCTGGCCCTGCACACCAGTCCCAGACTGCCACATGTATGCGGCCCCATTCCCACCTGTCCCATACATGTACACACACGTGTCCTAACCCCACATACATGTGCCCTGCCCCACACATGTACACACATGTTCTGGCCCCACACACGTCCCGCCCCCTGCCCCCCTCCCCCATTGCAGCAATGCAGCAAACCCCCGCAGTGCTCCGCCGTGGTGCCGACCTCCCAAACCCCACAAACTGCCCCAAAACCTCGGCCCCTCCCCCCC